ATTTAACCCTGCTCGAAGGAGCTGAACAATGGTGGGGGAAACGCTCTAAACCTTGACCTTAATTTTTTTTTTTTTTTTCCTGGCTTTTAGGAACGAGAGTGTACAGCCCTCCGGAGTGGATCAGATACCACAGATACCACGGGAGGTCGGCAACAGTGTGGTCTCTGGGAGTTCTGCTGTACGATATGGTCTGCGGCGACATCCCTTTTGAGCACGCTTCTTTCCCCAATAGCTCTGGACATTAGAGTTTGCATAGGTAGGGTTTTTATTATTCAAGGTTGTCTTTCTACTCTCCTGGTCTAAAATTGCTTTTTTCTTTCTTTGTTACAGAATGTCAACAGCTGATCAAATGGTGCCTTTCACTGAGGCCTTCAGACAGACCAACACTTGAGCAAATTTTTGATTTGCATAGGTAGGGTTTTTATTATTCAAGGTTGTCTTTCTACTCTCCTGGTCTAAAATTGCTTTTTTCTTTCTTTGTTACAGAATGTCAACAGCTGATCAAATGGTGCCTTTCACTGAGGCCTTCAGACAGACCAACACTTGAGCAAATTTTTGACCATCAATGGATGCACAAATCTGAAGTAGTGAAGTCTGATGACTGTGACATAAGGTTACGGACCCTTGATACTGATGTATCTAGCACAAGTTCAAGTAATGAGAGTCTGTGAATTACTAAGGACCTCGCACTGGGAGGGGAGCTACAAGCAGAAAGACCACAGTGCTGCTGCCAATACGTAGGAGGGGCTAGAAAAATGCATTCATTATTCTGTAGTTGAATCTTTGTCTGAGGGACTTGATTTTATTTTCCCCCTTTGCTGGTTTCTGCTTTGGAATGAGAGATTTCCTTTGGAAACGCTGATGTTTGGGAGTTGCAGGCCAGTACTTAGTCAAAGACTGACCTTACTAAGAAAGCAGTGACCTCTTGAATACATGGTAAAACGTTTTTGCTCTCATAGAGCCTGGACTAGATTTTATTTGCTTTTGAGTGCCTTTTTGAAAGCTGCTTCAGTGGGACTTTCTTTTTGAGCTGTGTATGTCCAAAGAAGATCCAGTTCATTATAGGAATTTGCTCCCTTTAGACTTGGTGCTGGAGGAAGCAGCTCCTATGATGCATTGGAGAACACGTTCGGTGATTGAATGAAGTAGTCCCATCCACTGGTGATGGAATACTTGAACACAGACATTTCACTCCTGCCCCAACCCTTTCCAAATCTGACCCACCTCTGCTGCTCAAAGTATTTCCTATAGCCTGCACAGAAATACGAACAGGTATATCGGCTTTTTTATCAGAAACATTTATTCATGTTTCCTTTTATCATCTCTACCACTGGGCATGAGAAGCCCCTTTCTCAACTCCCCCCGGCCTTTTGTCACCCTGCGAGTCTTAAAAAGTATGTATGGGCATGTTGAATGCACAATCAATGCAATATTCAAGGACTTTACTTTCTTTTCCATACCTGTATAATGTGTTTATGTAAACTTGGTTTTTCCCATGTATTATACAGTTATTTATTGTTTGGAGTTTAGAAGACCTCCCACAGGTTTCAGCTGTGGCTATTTATTTGGTTAATTTATTTGGTTAGAGTTATTCAACACTGTGCTTTCTCCTCCTTCTCCCCATGGGAATTCTAGCGGTTTGCCCATGGCACTTTTTTTCTGCATTCCTGTTAACTTTTGTTTAAAAAACAAACAAAAAAATTTCTGACCTTATCAGTTTTTGTTGGAAGATGGAAAATTGTTGTACAAAGTCTAATTTAAGGGAAATAGAATGACTTTAATTTAAAGTTAGAGTATGCCTTTTGTCTGGTATTATTGTACCAGAAATGTAAAGTAATGCTGTTTGGAAGGGTTTTTAATTATTGACATTGTACAGTCTCCGTGCATTGGCTCTGGAAGGTAGAGTGGCAGAGTCATGAACCTTAATTTATTTTAATAGCTGTGTTTCTGTGATCTGGTTGCATTTATGCAGCTTGGATTTGGATTTTTTTCTTCTGTTTAACAGTGTGAAATGTATGGAGATCATATTTTTTATACAGGTATTTCAATTAAACTTTTTTTGTATATAACAGTTCTGTGTCTGTGTGTTTACTTTTATCTTCACTCTTGATGCCAGCTGGGGGATGTGTATTCTCTTATGTTCTCTAGCTTGCAAGGGCCTACAGCAGCTGCCCCAGAGTTAACTGTTTTGGAAGAACCAACCAATCCCTCATCTTGACTGTATCTTCATCGAGATCACCGTATTTTATGTTGAACTGAAGGTGGTGTACAATACAACAGCACTCATGGCCTATGTAGAACAGTAATTGTGGGGTTAACTGTAAACACTGAACAACCGAAACTCCACTGTACTCATCTTTCAGTGTAACAGGGAAGGATTTTTGTAGTCACTGGTGGTGGCTGTTTTCACAGTTGACATGTTTGCTTTCCATTACATTCAGCTTCCTTCTTCCTGCTTACCCCTTCCTCCTGGGGGTGGAAGGGGATTTCCTGTGCCCTTACAGGAAAGAGATGGCATTCTTGCTGTTCTGTTTTCCTTCAGCTCCCTTAGATTGTCAAAAACGACTGGTGTGTTGCTTCATCAAGGACTGGGGAACGTTCTCGTGGATCCATAGCAAAGGGCAAGAGAAATGTCCTCAGCATTTGTCTTGGTGCAGTGGGAGTTGAGTCCTGCAGATTGCTGAGTTTGTCCTGGGTTCTGTGCTGACCTGGCTGGGGCTTTTTGCAGGGGTGGTAACGATTACTAGGTTTAACTATCACAGAGGGATCTACGAGGTACATCTAAGGATGTGTTCATTTATGAAAGATGCTTTTTAGTCACAGTAAAGGGCTAGGCTTAGAGTCTGTGGGTTTTGTGTTTTGGGGATCTTTCTGCCAGCTCATTTACTATTATTTTGGTTCCCTGAGGGGAACATCTCACTTGCTGACATCACATCAAGCCCCTGATGCTAACTAGTTTAGACTCGAAATGCCACTGAATAGCAGGAGGTAAAGCAGCAGGGGAAAGACCATTTTGGTGTGTGGTTTTCTGATGACATGGGGAGAAGGTGCATAGCTTTTTCTTGGCTGTAAAAAGGAAGTTCAAAGGACTCTTGTCAGGGAAAAAAAACAACAAACACGGTTGTGTCCATCAATTTGTCTGTTTTCTGTGTTTTCTGGTTTTGTTCCTTTTTCATTTTAGACTCTTTTCTCCAATTTTTAATCAAAGTCTGTATGTGCACCAACCATAGTCCCTGGGAAACTCACATGAAAATGTATGTTGTTGGAAACACATTCACACAAATTAAATACTTCACAGTTAAGATTGCTTAGGAAAATTACACAATCACATCCTAAGAGGACGCAGCCTAAAAGTGAGGATTGGGAATTTTTATCAATTATATCTTTTGCTGAAGAGGAGGGACTCAGGTAAGCTCTAGGAGGGATGATCCCAGCGCCTTGCGCAGTTCTTTAGGGAAGTGTGTTTCTAACCACAAGTAGTCCCTGGAGAAATTCCAGTAGCTGATGATAATCAACATCTTCCACTCCAGTGGCTTCGCCTGCTTGCAGCTGTTGAGAGGGGTGGTAGTGAGGTCGTATGGGTGAGCTTCAAAGGGAAACTCTAAAAATACGTTTGTAAGTCTATTGTTGATTCCTGAACTAGGGGCTTCCAACATTTCCACAGGAGCGTATGTTACTTTCCTTAGCTTTGTTGAGAAATGCTGTTGAAGCGGTCTGTTTTGCAACATCAAAACTAGGTTTTCACCTTTTGCTACTGAGGCAAAATGCATTAAAAGGAGAAAGGTCAAAAGGACGCGGGCGTGAGTGCTGACTCCCCTCTGGATTAGCTCAACATAAAAGGTACGCTCTCAGTGCTGCACAGGCGGCTTTGGTTGTGAAACTCCTCTGTACACTAATAGAAGCCACGTGGCTGAAACACCACATACCGAAAGTAACGATTTGTAAAAAAAGCTTTTCATTACGGTTGAAAGTTGGAAAATGATGTGTTAATATAGTTCCATTAGCTGAGTGTTGCTGTCAAAGTGAGCAAGTCAGTGACAGCTCTTTGTTTCTCCTGCGCTTCTATCTGGTATTTTAATATCATTAAATGTTACTTCTCTGGGATCCTCCTCTTCCTACTCTCTCTGCACTAGGTTGGTTTTCAACAGCACAAAGCTTGAAAAGCAGAATTCAGCAGATCCTTGAAAACACTACCGTTTAAATCACAGCCTGTTTTAACCTTGACAAATTGATTAGGCGATGCTCATACCTATGTGTGTATGCGTGCTACTGGCTGCGTAACATGTATTTCAAATATATTCTAATGCTGAAAGATCTTTAACAATGTAGTGTTTCGTGTAATTCATATCCCTAATAAAACTCATTTTCTTACGTGCATAAGCATACACTTGCTTCTTGTCTTTTTTTGTTGGTTTTTTTTTAGTTAACTAAGCTTATATTTACTGAAGCAACCAAGCAAGAGCACTTTGAACAAAACTGTCAGAGGGATGTTAGAAAGATTGACGAGGGTCTGTTCTTGCCAAACGCTTACGGTTCTCTTTCAGTGGTTTACTGACCTCTGTTGGTGAAATTAAAGTATATGTTCCAAAAATAATGATGCATAAATTGGGAAGAGAGATTTTAAAACACTGCTGACTGGTATTTTTAGGGTACGGAAGAGTATGGCTAATACTTAAATATCCCACACTGTTTGAAAGGCTACCATTACAAGAAGAAGAAGAAAAAAAATTTTAAAAAAAAAGATACTACAAATACAAAAACAGCTTTTCAATAAAAATGGGAGAAGGGAGTATGAATTCAGAAGGTTGTCAACTCTGCATCTGAACTCACAGAGGTAACCTGCCTAGCAAGCCCCCAGTCGCTTACTCCTGACACGGGTGTTTATAAGCATATTAGCCCTCATTCTTCCACTTCGTTTCAGTCACAATGAGAAGCACTTGTCTTCTGGCATCCAGATGGGCAATAATTCTCAGGGGTGTAACTCAATAACAGAACATTGTGGCCCTATCAGCTGATTATTAGCAGATTTTTTCTACTAACAGCAGTGATGCTACTGTTGGTAGCAGAAGTCAAGATGGTGGCATTTTAATTTCATTGCAATACACAGTTTTTCTGATATTGTACTGAAGTTTGCTATGCTTGTCTATTTGCAGTTGCTTAGTTTCATGGTTATCTGTGATTTAAAAATTTAATATGTTTTTGCCTAAGTAGTTCCTTCAGGTAGCTGATATACCAGAGATGTATTCAGCTTTTTTGGTTATATTGCCAAACTGCTGAACAACGTGATAAGGAGGCCACAAGCCCATGCAAATAAAAATAAATTAAAACCTGTATTTAGACAGGATTCCTAATTAATTTCAGAGAATGTTTGTCTCAAAACTGGTGGGTTCACGTGGATCAATAAAAAATTGGGGCATAGAGACACACCAGCCTTTGTTTTTGCTGAAGAGAAGTTACACTGGCAACCCCAGAACTGGGGCCGAACTCAAGGCAAAATGAGGAGCAATAACATAAATCCGTGAAATTCTTGCAGACATTTTCATAGCTTGCAATCCCACTGCTTCTGTTTCAATAAATTTAAAAGGTATTCAATCTTCTGTGTCCTTTGCTGTTCATAATCTTACTATTATTTTCATTATGGCCTGGCACATTCAGGGTTTAAGAAACATTATTTGGTTTCCAAATATCTGTTGAAATTTTGCATATTTATATCTCAGGTGCTAGGATTTCCTTTTCCTTAAAAAGGCCGTGAAGGAAATTACTTGCCTCCAGAAGCATTATGCTTACGTAATAATATAAATTCAATATAGGTCTCAGATTAGCTGTGTTTAAGCTCTAATTAGTATGGTCTTAGTAAGAATGTTATCTATTGTAGCTAATACTCTGCTAATTGACTACACAAACCATTATGTAAAAAGCTGATTAGACTAGTCCAGTAAGAGAATTAGTGAGACGCACACTTTAACTTGCACTCTTTCTCAGGTAAGTCTGTGGTAAACCTTGAAATTACAATCAAGTCGTATGCAACAGAGCCTCTTGTGGTTCAATATGCTTCTTTGTTTACTAGCAATGACTCAGCAGTCACTTTAACTCTCCAATCAGAAGTAAGGAAAGACTACAGAAAA